ATTTTGTGAATTTATGTTTTTGGATTTGAGTTTCTGTTGCCCCCTTTTTATATTGAACCTGCAAAGAACCGCCTTCAGCTTCAGTCTCTGCATTTGGGTTCTCCTCAAATCTCCACTCAATCTGACACCAGCTTGTCACATCTTGTGACGTGCACATTGTCAGGGGATTCCTTGTTAATGTCCCAATAACAGTTTTTACCGGCGAACCTGGGTAACTGTTTCCTGCTAACAGTGTGTTTCTTTTGACCACCTGCTCTTACAGTACTTTCCTCTTTCGGTTTTGTGTTTATAGTGCTTGCTGGAAGTTTCTGTTACTCAGGTCCTGCAGCGGAGATTCACTTTGTGTTTGTTAGTTCTATATTGTATTTTAGATGTAGAGGGACCTGAGATTTATGTCTTAGAAAAACAGAAATGGGCACAAATGGTTAACCTAAAAAAATTGCCTTTCTTAATAAATGTACAGTTAAACTTCTGATATGGTTTCTATAGGAAAACTATGGAGGATCTTTACAGCACAGCAGCTGAGGAAACATCTTACTGTACAAACAGCATGTGGAGAGATTCTTAAGCATCCAGCAGAACATAGACCCGAAGCATACAGACAGAAACACAGTGAAATTATTTAGAGCAAAGCATTTCATGAGTAAGAATGGCCTAGTTAAAGGGCAGACCAAAATGCTTCTTAAAGATGCTTTCATTCAACCTGACCTATTTTCCAAAGAGTTTGGCAGATTACTTAATCTCTAGATGTGCAAATAAAAACACACCTTAAAAGACGTGTAACTTGAATTACAGCAAAACTTGATATCGGCTTAATGTTTCTGAAAATGACATATAACCGTTATATATTTAAAAAAAATAAAAGGATTTCTTCCCACTGTACAGCTTTCCATCCATGCCATGATGTCTGTTACATAAATTCTAACATGGTAAAGGGAAATTGATTCTTATTTGGTCTTGGTTTTTAAAATTTCTTCATGGTTATTTGTCTTACGTTAAATATGACGCTGTACATTGATGCAAGTTTATCCACAAACTTTTTTTTTAACTTTAAAATATTTTTCTTACCCAGAGTTAAACTGGTTTTACTTGTTCATAACAAAGTTTTTTTTTTTATTTTTTTTTTTTATTGTAGGCTATGTTTAGGTTTAGAATTTGAAATGTAAGTAGGAGAAGGGCACCCCTTAGTGGCAAATTGGAAGAAGTGCATCTATTTTGATAACTGAATTATTTCATCAGTTAAACTTTATTTTGAATTTTAATGATAAAGTGAATATATGGAAATAATTTAACTATGTAGAATTAAAACTTTTGCTATGAAAAATTACCGGGATGGATGCACACACACTGTTAAGGGAAGTCCGTCAATGCTGAGCTTGTCAAATTAAATTAACTATTAATGTGTTCAAATGTAAAACAGTACAAAAGTGTTAACTCATACTTTTATTTAGCTACTTGTTAAATGTATGCATGCAAACTTGTGCATTATTTTCAACTTTTCTCTTAAATTAAAGTCTGCAAAGAAAGATGCCATCTGAAATTTTCAATCAATTTTTTTCAGGCTGAATTTTATTTGTTGCTGTCCTCAGAGGAATCCAGTCAAGGGATTCCTAATTTAATTATTATTTAATGAAATAAAATTCTGTGGAACAGCTCATGCTCTTGCCTTGTTTTCCGAGTGAACTTTCAGGACATACCATAAATGCTGTGGTCTGTTGATAAGGACACGCTTGTACCACTTTCACATCTTTCCAATGTTTGTCAAAGGGTCGATGCGCACATAGAGCCTGTCTGCTGAACCATGCAAATAGAGAAAATGTACAAGATCACCTTTTAGATCAATGGATCAATCAACTTCCTGATGGTAAAAAAAACAACAACTCAGCCCTCTATTTGGTTTTGATTCACTTTATTTATATATCACTAATTCACAACACATGTCATCTCGAGGCACATTATGAGACAATTTAGTGAAATCACCCAAATTGGTTAAGTCTGTTGAGTAATTGACTTTATTGAATTTTCTCCTCCAGGATGGAGGATGGGGCGTCAATAGACATTCGCTTTGATTCTGAAGCTGACTTTGAAGCAAAACCAGTATGAATGTAGTGACAGTGGAGAGGAAAGCTTCCTTTAAACAGGAGGAAACCTCCAGCAGAACCAGGTTTGCTGTGATTGGCCATCTTGTCATGATCTGGCCTGTTTGCTCTCCCTTAATTAGTCATTCCTTTCACCTGTCATTTTCCCTCCCTGCCTCAATTATAATTTATTCCTCTAACCTTTTTCCTCTTGGTTATATTCAGTTCAGCCTGAGCATTCAGTGCCAGATCATTACTTGTCTTTCTGTTTGTCTGTCTGTCTGAGTTTTTGCCTTGGTTCATGTCCTGGATCCTGGCAGCCAGTGGAAAGAGGGTTTTTGTGTTTCTTGTCTCCTGATCGTCCGCTGTTCCTCCACTGCAGAGTCCTCTGGGTTTTTGGCTCTATATGTGGGGAGGTTCAGTTTTGATCTCAGTAAGCCTGGCTCCAGGAAGGAGACCAGTTTAAAGTCCTGCATCAAGTTCTGGTTCCACGTCCCGTCTTGGCTACCCTCTTCCACTGAGCCTGCTCATCTGCACCTGATCCTGTCTGCTCCTGTGCGTGACCACCTGGTCATGCTTTCAGACCCTGTCAGACTCTGATCCCTCCTGGGAGCCTGTGGATGCCTGGAAGTCTGGATCCTGCCACCTGTTTCTGTTCCTGCCTGATCTGGTTCCTGTTCCTGTCTGTTCTAGATCCCTGACCAGGATCGGCTTCCAGCATGTCTCATAATCATGTATAATATACTACTCAAAAAATTAAAGGAACACTTCATAATCAGAGTATAGCATCAAGTTAATTAAACTTCTGGGATATTGTTTTGTTCAGGTAAGTAGCAGTGGTGGTTGTTAATCAGTTTCAACTGCTTTGGTGTTGATGAAATTAACAACAGGTGCACTAGAGGGGCAACAACGAAACCACCATCAAAACAGGAATGGTTTTACAGGTGGAGGCCACTGACATTTTTTCCCCTCATCTTTTCTGACTCGTTTTCACCAGTTTGCATTTGGCCATGGTCACTGTCACTACTTGTTAGCATGAGGCGCTACCTGGACCCTGTGGTTAACAGGCAGTCCAACTCCTCCAGAATGGCACATCAATGGTGCCTTTGCTGGAATTGGCAAGTCTGCCACTGGCACCCTGTGCTTTTAACAGATGCGAGCAGGTTCACCCTGAGCACATGTGACAGACGTGAAAGGGTCTGGAGAAGCCGTGGAGAACGTTTTGCTGCCTGTAGCATCGTTCAGCATGACCAGTTTGGTGGTGGGTCAGTGATGGTCTGGGGAGGCATATCCATGGAGGGATGCACAGACCTATACAGGCTAGACAACGGCACCCTGACTGCCATTAGGTATCGGGATGAAATCCTTGCACCCATTGTCAGACCCTATGCTGGTGCAGTGGGTGCTGGATTCCTCCTGGTGCACGACAATGCCCGGCCTCATGTGGCAATGGTAAGCAGGCAGTTCCTGGAGGATGAAGGAATTGATACCATTGATTGGCCCCCATGCTCGCCTGACCTAAATCCAATAGAACACCACTGGGACATTATGTTTAGATCCATCCGACGGTGCCAGGTTGCACCTCAGACTGTCCAGGAGCTCAGTGAGGCCCTGGTCCAGATCTGGGAGGAGATACTCCAGGACACCATCTGTCGTTGCATTAGGAGCATTCCCCGATGCCGTCAGGCATGCATAGATGCATGTGGGGGGCCATACAGATTACTGAATACCATTTTGAGTTGCTACAATGAAATTTCAGTAAAATGCACTAGCCTGCAGCATAATTTTTTTACTGTAATTTCTGTAGGTTGATAATTTTTTATTTCCATCAAAATGTGGCATTCTTTTGTTCTTAACACAACACCCAGTCCATATCAGTATAAATAAACAGCATAATTACTTGCTCCATTGAGATCTAACATGTTTTCAAAGTGTTCCTTTAATTTTTTTGAGCAGTGTATGAAGTTTCAACAACTTTATGTCATAAATTATTATAACATCCAGTCCTTGCTTCTCTGGTCCTGGATTAAAGCCTAATTCAGATTCTGCTAATTCACTTTAATGTCTTAATTAAGACAAACATAATAATGAATACTATATTTGTTTGTTTCATGATTTTTGCATTTAACTTTTAACTATATATATATATATATATATATATATATATATATATATATATATATATATATATATATATATATATATATATATATATATATATATATATATATATAATGTTTGATCATTTAAAAGACAGCAGACACATGGTATATCCAAACAGGAAGATATTGCATTGTCTGAATATCAACCCTGCAAGACTGGTATAAATATAAAGTCTCACAGGGAAACTCATCGGCTTGTGTCGTTATGTCGAAAGAGGGCAGGGCATATTTGTAGTTGATTTGTGTGGCATGGTAACTGCCACCCTCCTCAAAGTTGCTTAGTGTCAGCAAAAGCCATAGAGACCTCTTCGGGCTATGACACAGAAGTCATTCAGCATTCAACTAGATGTACAATCGCAAAAGTTATAAAAATATTTTATGAAGGAAGCAAAGTTGCTTAGTCAGTTTAAAAATCTTAAAATTGCTGTGTGCAGCTTTACAACTTAAGTCTAACCCATCTTTATATTTAACTGTAAAAAATTCACATAAAAAGCAAAATTGTGCTTTTATCTTTTACTGACATGTGACTCAGCCATAGTGGGAGCCTCAGTGTGCAGCTTCATATACAGTGCTTACACTATGCACACAATACAGAGGATTATTTCTATTACTGGGTATAAATAAACATAGAGGAACTAGTTTATCTGGAATAGATTATATCTTGTTTGCTAGTTTTTGTGTAATGGTAGAAAGCCATATCATCCATATCAAACCCTCTTTCAGCTGGTTGTGCAATAAATAAACAGCAGATTTTTAGGAATGTCTTTTGAAAGCTTTTTATTTAGAATTGTATAAAAAAGATTCCACCCAATATCATTCATAAGGTGCCTAATTCTTATTCATGTAAACTATCATAGTCAGTCCTGTGATTTGAGTCAGATATTTCCTTCTGATTGAGGCAAAGAGATATGAATCTTCTGCAGAAGAAAACAGGAAAACAACCTGGACAGAATAACATCTGAGTCAAGCAAAAACATTATTTCAAAATAGTTATGGAAAAGAAATCTGTAGGAGCAGGTTATAGCCTACTTTAGTGAATGTTAGTGGTTTAGATGCAAGTCCTGTTAAAAGGGACAATTTCAAACAATAAGTTTTTGTCACTTCTGCAAAATCAAGCTCAAAAGTCATGAGAAACTCATTTTAGAGTTGCTGACAGGCAATCTGTCAGTGGCCTCATTTATGCGGTCACATTCTTTCTTTTTCTTTAAGAGGCCGGAGAGTTGTTTGCCTGTCAGTTTTTTTTTTTCTCCTGGGCAAACATGTTGGATCCCGCAGAGCTAAATCCTCTTGCACACTCTCTTCATAGCCACACCCTTTTCTCCAGGAGTGACACAGATCTGCACAATGAAAATGGTAGAAAAACAGAAGTAAAGTGATTCATTCAGTTGTCTGAAGTTTGAGATCACTTTTACGGTGTCAAAGTTTCCTCTCACCATCACTAGTCTATCGTCTATAATTTCTGCTGTGAAGAAATATTCTGGAAACTGCAGACAAATCTTTCCATCTTTCATGGTTACGGTGCCCTGTGGTTCACAGAGATCAGAAAGTTTTAAATAACAGAGTCGGTGTTTGGCAATTCTTCAGTCCAGTGGTTGTAACTCACCTTAAAAGTGACTCCTTTTATTGATTCCATCTCGCACTCCTTTCCAATTGTAAAGCTGATGCTCCAGCTCCAGCCGGGGATGGTCTGTGTCCAGGTGTAGTTGTCTCCATCCTGAACAACATCAGTCACCACTTTGTGCTCTGTCTTAGCATTCTGAAGCCCTGTGATTAAACAAACACAGTGTTTGAATAAATGATTTCTCACTACATCAATGCCTAAATGAAAACATCTGTGTACCAGTTGCTTCTAAAAACTCCTCATAGTTCTCTTGAGTTTCAAGCTGATATTTCCCTGCAAACGCCATGCTGCCTAGCCGAGGAACTGAGAGGAGAAGACCAGCGGAAACAGTTTATGAGTCAACAAAAGAGTGGCTGAACAATTTAAACGTGTCTCTTCCTCTTCTGTCCCACCCACTGCCATCATGTGACACCAGCAAATGCTTGAGAAACGTTTTTCTCCTCCACCCCAAAAAATGCCTGTTGCATGACATGAGGGGGTGTTATCACTCCAGTTAGAATCTGGCTGTTTAACGGTTGGTTTGTGGAGAACATGGGATCATGTTTAAACATGTGATGTTATCGGCAGTGTTCTTATGGTGGTTCAACAGATGCCACTCACTGAGATTTATTTTGAAATTCAGGCTGCTTAACTGTGCGATGGTCTTTGATAAACTGGGGACATTTAAAGTTTGTGGAACAGACAGTTTCTGTGGTTAAAACATTGCTTCTTAAAATGCATACATCCCAAATTTAGATTACATGTTGTCTTCATTGTATAGTTAGCCAGCCTCTGTTGCCTCTTCAGCAGCTTGTTCACTTCTGCAGCAAGACTTCTGATTGCACCATCAAAAACAGACCGAGATGGTCATGTTCATGTTGACATTAGACTGGATTTAAAATAATGTTTGTTGTAAAAATGATCAGCACTAAATAATTAAGTGAAAGGAAGGGGAAAAGTTCGAAAGGTGTTTGTTTTGCATCTAAATTATCCAAAGAGGCAATTTGTGCAGCACTAATAGCTGAATATTGTTTTTAGTATTTCACCACTACCAGCTTTGCTTAAGCCTGCCCATCTCTCTGTACAAAATTGCTCCTGCTCACTCAGATTCAGATTGGACAGTCAGCATCTGCGGTTTGCAAGTCTTACCACAAGATAGTCAATATTACTCAGGTCAGCACTTTGACATACTCATTCCAACCCATGTGTATTCATTCAAACTATTCCTGCATACTCTGCATGAATGGAGGCTCCTCTGAGACTGTCCCCAGGCAATCTTCAGCATCTAGAAAGGAAGCACAGCCCTCTGCAGGTGAAAATGAGGAGAGCGCTCTAGATGCTTCCCTGCCAAATACTGAAACATCCCCAGCCGACTCCTCCCTGCCCCCTCAGGCTTCCACACCTTCTCCAGCATTGTCTGTCGCTGCTAAACCTACCGATGGCACCACTGCTGCTTTAACCACGTCAGCCTCTTCAACCCAGGAGGCTACCACCCTCACAGCATCGTCATCATCGTCCTCTTCCTCCCCTGAGCCAGGAGAAGCGAGTGTTTCAGGAGCTGGAGGCAGTAGCAGCGGCTCATCAACACCTGCTGCTTACCTTATCAAGGCTGCACTTTAAAAAATGAAATTGTCTAGAGAGCTGTTCTAAACCAAATTTATTTTTGTTTACACTTGTGTATACAAAATAACAAAATAAATCTGTCTAAGTCATATTCTTTCCCAAGTCTGTAAAGGAAAGCCCTCCCTTACAGCAAAATGCTCATGTATTTGTTTAGATGACATTTTGTGTTTATGTAATGATGATATGTAATGATGACAAAATGCTCAGGCTCTGGTGAAGAATTTATTAAAGATGAACATTTCTTTTTAGTCTTGGCACTTTTGGAAAGCTATCACTTTTAACAGATTCTCCCACCTGAGCTTCGGATCTTTACAAATCCTCCAGAGCTACCATTAGCCTCTTTGCTGCTTCTCTGATTATTGCTCTGCTTAGAAGACCAGTTTGGGTAAGCAGCAGATGTCCCCTAATATTTCTGATATTCATTCTATGATATAAAAACTAAACTGTGTAAGAACCATTGGATAATGTTGAATAACACAGCTTCCAAACTTCACCAAATGTTCCCTCTCTGCTCCCTACTGATCATGATGTTTGACTGATCTTAAGACAGCCTCTGAAGCCTTCACAGAGCAGCTCCATTTACACTGAGAATACATCAGATAGATAAATGGATTTTATAAATATCTTATTTGATCTCTAAAGGTGTTTTGATTATTTTTAGTAGTAATGGAGCAAAGTGGATTTTTTTTTTTACACAGACCACACTTTACAATGTTTTGCTTGGAGAATCCTGTCAAATAATTTTTTTCACTTCACAATCAAGATTATCAGTTGGTTATTCACAAAAAAAACTCAAACTTTTCATTTTATCCACATTGTACGGCAGATATTGTCCCTAGGATCAAATTGCTGATTTGCATTCACCAAGTTTCTCCGCAATATTGAATTCACAACACAGTGCCTTTTGTTACTAATGTAAACAACCCGGGGGGGCACAAATGTCGAAATGCTTTAACAGAACTAGGAAAGTCGTTTCCCAACCTTTTTTCCTTCCCTTGGGTGCAGACAGAGGTTTACACATCAGATAACATTGTAGTTGTGTTTAGGTTGCAAACATTTTATTTTTATTTTTTATGAGAATTGCCCCCAATTAACAAGTGTTTGGAAAGTTGCATTGTTAAAGCTTTTGTTGAACAATGTGGGTTCCAATATTCTTTTTTTACTGAAAAGATGAACACTGTTTAAAAAATAATAATAATATGATAATAATAATAATAATAATAATAATAATAATAATAATAATAATAATAATAATAATAATAATAATAATAATAATAATAATAAAAGGAGCAATGTCTGACAGTTTAAGGACAGTTCATGCCAGTTTTATATTAGTGGAATCGTAAACCGAGGACAGAATGTTCTGCTTTTAAACAGAGAAGGGTGAAAGGTTACTGCAGAGTAAATGCTCAAGTGGGCTCTTACATAAATCAATCATTTGAAGCCTTTACAAAAAGATAAATGTTGTTCTCATTGAAGTCCAGAGTTTATTTTATTTTATTTATATGCTTAGAGGACAGCGATGAATGAACAGATTCATTGAAGGCATTGGCTGAATTTTCATCTGAAATGATAAAGGATAGTTTATAAGTAGAACCACAAATGTGTTATGAAATGGTTTTACTGAAGGTTACATTTTATTTAAAAATCAGAATAACTTTATTAATCCCTTCCAGGAAATTGTTTTCTTGCAGTGTAACCCTTTACAGAAGAGAGAAAAATAAGATTGAAAGTACAATAAAGTAAAAATTTATCATGAGCAGTACTTACGTTGAGGGGGGATGGTATCCACCTTCTTAAAATACCATCCCCTGTGACATTTTATTACTGAATGTGTAAAATTTCTATATATTTATTTGGCAGGCTGAGCAAAATAAATAAAATCAAAGAGGTGGCCTACTATTACTATAAGCTGGGAAAATTACTCCTCTGCATTTGTACCTTACTGTGCTGTAATTTTGCTGTCAGTTTATGGTTGATGTACTAACAACTGGAAAATCAAGTTACTTTACACTCCACCTGAGAGTTTCATTGCTGCCACCCTGTGTTTTAGGGGTGAAATGCTTGCTCTGGAGGATGTGAAGTATTTTCCAATAATAATAAATCATCTGATAGGGGTGGCCTTATGGTTGGCCGCTTATTGGCCAGCGGTTGTCCCCCCTCTTCTAGCTCCATCCCTGGATTCCTCTCAATCTAAGACATTATGAATTGAACTTTATTAATGTCACACTGGAGAAATTCAGCTCTGCATTTAACCCATCCCTTGAAGAGCAGTGGGCTGCCACTGCATGGCAGCATAGTGCTGCCATTTCAGGGCATTTGAGATAATTTTAGCTGAACAGCCAATGATTTTCTGCACCTCTTTGTATGTTTTCCCTTCTTTAATCAATTTTTTTATTAGGAAACGCTCATCTTCAGAACAGTGTCTTGAACGACCCATTTTCCTTGTTTTTTCAGGACAAATGCACAGCCAGCATGCCAGTTGTCTTGATCCTTAAATACGGATCACCTGTTAACACCCTTTTTTCCCAGAATACCCTCCCTAATTGATGCCCTCTCTAATTGAACTCACCACTGCTATTTTTTTGAACACACCCTTTTCAGTTAATCATTCAATTTCACAGAATCCACAGTATGCATGGCTGTCCTGTTGGGTTTGTTGGTTTTCTATACCTTTATTTTACCCCCCAGAAACTTATCTGGGGTATAGACATTGAAATGTTAATAAAACAAGTGATTTTCTTGCTGCTGTTGTGGCACTGCTATTATTTCGAACACAACTGTATATATATATATATATATATAAACCTGTTTGTCAGTTTGGATCTTGAAGTCCCATAGGATCTTAGCTCGGTCATTCTCAACTACCTTAGGAGGTGTCTTCCATTTTGACCTTGGGACTTCCAGCCCATACTCATGGCAGATGTTCCTGTACACTATGACAGCTACCTGGTTGTGGCGTTCCATGTATGCACTTCCTGCCTGCATTTTACACCCTGCTGTTATGTGCTGTATTGTTTCAGAGGCATCTTTGCACAGTCTGCACCGGGGGTCCTGCCTGGTGTGGTAGACCCTGGCCTCTATTGATCTTGTACTGAGTGCCTGTGCTTGTGCTGCCATGATTAGTGCCTCTGTGCTGTCCTTCAGTCCAGCCTTTTCCAGCCACTGGTAGGATTTGTTGATATCAGCCACTTCTTCTATTTGTCTGTGGTATACGCCGTGCAGCGGCTTGTCCCTCCATGATGGTTCTCCTTCCTCTTTCTTGTCCTCACTTTCGGTTTTCTCCTGCCTGAGGTACTCACCGAGCCATTTGTCTTTGGGGGCCATCTTTCGGATGTACTCCTGGATCTTAGTTGTTTCATCCTGGACAGTGGTCTTGATACTCACTAGCCCTCGGCCTCCCTCGCTACGCTTGGTGTACAGTCTCAGAGTGCTGGATTTGGGGTGGAACCCTCCATGCATTGTGAGGAGCTTTCTCGTCTTGATGTCAGTAGCCTCTATCTCCTCCTTTGGCCAGTTTATTATACCAGCGGGGTATCTGATGACTGGTAGGGCATATGTGTTGATCGCTTGGATCTTGTTTTTCCCATTCAGCTGACTTTTCAGGACCTGCCTTACTCTTTGTAGGTATTTAGCTGTGGCAGTCTTTCTTGCCATCTCCTCGTGGTTTCCGTTAGCCTGTGGCACCCCAAGGTAATTGTAGCTGTCCTGAACATCTGTTATGTGGCCTTCTGGTAGTTCAACCCCCTCGGTTCTGATCATCTTCCCTCTCTTTGAGACCATGCGACTGCACTTGTCCAGTCCGAATGACATCCCAATGTCGTTGCTGTAGATCCTGGTAGTGTGGATCAGTGAGTCGATGTCTCGCTCACTCCTGGCATACAGCTTGATGTCATCCATGTAGAGGAGGTGACTGATGATTGTTCCGCTTCGGAATTGGTATCCGTAGCCAGCCTTTGTGATGATCTGGCTGAGGGGGTTCAGGCCTATGCAGAACAGCAGCGGGGATAGTGCATCACCCTGGTATATGCCGCACTTGATGGTGACTTGTGCTATTGGCTTTGCATTGGCTTCCAGACTTGTTTTCCACAGCTTCAGTGAGTTCTTGATGAAGGCTATTAGAGTCCTGTTGATCTTGTACATTTCCAGGCATTCCAGTATCCATGTATGTGCCATTGAGTCATAGGCTTTCTTATAGTCAATCCAGGCAGTGCACAGATTTGTCTGCCTGGTCTTACAGTCTCGGGTGACTGCTCTATCCACTAGTAGCTGGTGTTTGGCTCCTCTGGTGTTGCTGCCTATTCCCTTCTGGGAAGGGTGCATGTATTGAGCAATGTGCCTATTCATCTTAGCCGCTATGATGCCTGACAGGAGCTTCCATGTTGTACATAGGCAAGTTATTGGCCGGTAGTTGGATGGGGTTGTTCCCTTCTGCGGATCCTTCATGATCAGGATTGTCCGTCCTTGGGTTAACCATTCTGGGTGGGTCCCATCCATCAGCAGTTGGTTCATTTGTGCTGCGAGGCGTGCATGAAGTGCGGTTAGTTTTTTCAGCCAGTAGGTGTGGATCATGTCAGGGCCTGGGGCCATATATATATATATATATATATATATATATATATATATATATATATATATATATATATATATATATATATATATATATATATATATATGCCATCCTTAAATGCTGAAGGGTATCTGCAGGTGATGATGATGCATGGGTTATTATCTGGTTTAGGTTATCACATATGAGCCCTATAATGGATTTTAATCACTGAGTTTGCTCGACCCTTTTAATTGGTCATTGATTGTCTTATATTTTAAGGATGTTTGAACCAAGATGTGTGATAGGATATATGAAGGTAAAGCTAAAGTATGCAGTAACACGTGTGCACACAGTTTGGTATGCCCGAAAATTTTTTTTTTTTTTGCCTAACATTTCAGAGTTTCTTTCTACTGCAAACTTTCAGTATAACCTGGACAATCTTTTGCACATGAAGCCCCAGGCGAGTTTATAAGGCAACAGATGATTTGTTCAATTGTAGTAGTACTGCTTAAAGGCTTAAATTGTTATAATTTGTGTGATATTCTGATCTATATTTGATATTTTAGCATTTGAAAATACTAAATATGAGGCACTTGTAGGCTGCTTTGTTTTAACTCATTTTCAACCCCATATTGTTCTTTTTTCTTGAGCTATTTCTGTTAGCTTGGACTTATGTTTTGGGTCATTACCTTCCTGAAAGATGAACCATTAAATAGGTAGGTGCATACCTGCTCTGCCCTACATCACTGTTTGCTGATCTAAAAAAATAAAGCATGTTGTTAACTGGGTAGGTAAACCATATTCAAGGTAGGATAGTCCTGCAGGGGGCAGGTAAGGATACAAATAGATAAAAAATCAAGCAAAATTACACTTTGTAAAAGACTGTGACGAAGGGATGACATTACAGCATAGCTTATAGCTCAGAAAAGTTAATAAAAAATTTTTTTTATTATTTGCTATCATAATCAATAGCTGTAGCCCTGATCTATTAAAAATCTTTATCAGGGGTTCCTGGTAAACTGTTGGGATGCTATACCCCCTAAGTGAAAATATCTTTTCTGCTACATCATTTTCATTAACGTATGTGGAAATAACAATACCAAAATTTTATGAAAATAAAGTTAAATCTTATAAAACATATTGGAAACATTGCCATCCACATTATAGCCAACAGTTGGTCTTTAAAAAATTAAAACAGTTGAAAATCAGTATTTGAATTCTATGTTTTTATTTTTCCATCACATCTCTACATACACACTTACAATATATTTGAAGATTGTGCGCACATCAGAAACATACAGATAATACTTTATTTACTACCTTCACAAAATACCACAAGGATATCAGAGAACTGCGACAGAGAGGTAATCCTATGCCTCATCACTCTTTGTATTACAAGAGGCCCATTTTTTTTTTTTTTTAATAAATCATGTTCAGTATTTTTACAGGAAGGTAATCTAGTCTAAGTTCAAACATTTGAAGGTTTGGAGTGAATTTAGTTCAATTCAGGTTACTCCAAAGAACATGCAGGTCTCTTTATGACCCATAGAGGGCAGCATACAAGTAGGTTTGATTGTCTTTTTTGTGGTCACAGCTCACTGAGAAGAACCCTTTTTAAATTACAAAGAGATATAAAGAGTAAATGAACATATTTTCACCTCACACTGATCACTAAAGACATGCCACTGACTGTTTCACCATCACAAACCACGTACAGTGGAACCTGTAAAACCTTTACTCCCTAACAGCAATGAATCAGAAGCTGCCAGCTGTTACACATTGTCATCATGCCCCATAATGTCCCTGTTGATTCCTCGTTTGTCTTTAATGTTTCCAAACGTGAAAGAAAACACACCTCCAGCGGTCCCCTCAGCCATTTTCCCCTCTCTGCTGTCCCCTCTAAGGGTTCCTTTCCTGCAGCCTGTTGGGCTGCCAGGCAGCAGGTTAGGTGTGGAAGGGGCCAAAGTGGTGGCTCCCCAAATGTACAAAGTTTCCCCCTCTGGGCACGGAGGGAGACCCTTGCTCAGGTAGCTGGGGCTGGGGGTGGCAGAGGATGGCAGGGTGCGCTGGCTCCCGTTCAGCCAGCCGGAGGTGTGATCCGCAGAGCTTTTCCGGGAGTTTCCAGAGGAACGGAAGGTGGACGAACGGTAGTTGTAGGACCTCCATCCAGGGCGTCTGTGGTGGTGACAGTGGCACCTCAGGATCTGGATGAAGGCCAGCTTGAACTCGCGGCTGTAGCAAGGGTAGATGATGGGATTCAGGCAGCTGTTGAAGTAGCCGAGCCAGAAGATGACTTTGAAGAGGGTCTCAGGTGGTCGCAGGTGGACATTGAAAGACCCTGAGGATAACGAACAAAAGGAGAAGGATAAGTGGAAAATAGCTGGCAGATATCTGTTATGTAAGTCCAGAAACCTATAAATCCATAATGACTCAGTGTTTGGGTTATTTAAAATTCAAACGCTGTTTTTATTAGTCTTTAGTGAGTCAAGCTCAGCTGGATTCCCATGCTTCTGTGCACCAATATTACACTGCAGTAAAATCAGAGATGCAGCAGTGGATTGTGCTCATGTTGACGGCTGGGCCAGTAGAAACTGGTTAAAGTTTGCTCACAAAGTGTAGATAGACAAGGCTTTAGACCAGGGGTCACCAACCTTTTTAAGGCTGAGGGCTACTTCATGGCTACCGAGTCATAGGAAGGGCTACCAATACTGACCTATGAACTGGAGGGATCAGTGTTCACCTATCTCATCCATAAAAACTCATTTTTATTCTTATTTTATTCTTTTATTCATTTCTAATTTTCTTTTTAATATTGTCATTTTGAAACCACTGAAATAGTTAACATGATGAAATAATACATAAATTATTAAAAAGAAGAGCAACAGAATAAAAAAAAAATTAAACTTAACCCACTGAGTGAGTTCTTCTGTTTTCAGAAGACGAAGAGAGCACCCCATGTGGTCCTTGAGAGCCCCTTGGTGCCCGCAGGCAACGCGTTGGTGACCCCTGCTTTAGACTACCGTATATTTAAACTTACAGTACGATATTTATTTAAAGGATCTTTGTTGTCTCTTCTACAAACTGGCCTAAAAGACAGACTATGCACTGAACTGACTGTGTCACCATCCTGCAGCCTCAAACCCCAACTCACCACCTACTGCTGATAACGGCTTTTAATTGAAAATATCTTCCTGTTAAAGAGGGATTTCGCTCATGCTCGCTCAGGATGAGAAGTTGTTGCAAACAGCTTATATTATATAAACAGCTGAAAAATTATTTGACCATCTTGGCTTTAACAGCCACCATTAAGTTTTTTGCAAATTGCTGCTATATAAAAATACTTTAATTCAATCTTAATGGTAACAAGTGAATCAAAGTCTAATAAGATAAGTTGTTCTCTTAAAGGAATAGTACACCCAAAACATGATTAGCCTTCATTTTCTACTCACCCCCATGCTGAACAACACTCTGGAGTACTTTTTTGATATCTCAAATGCATCTGGAGATCTGGGAGGCTTCTTGCTGTCTGCTGACATTCAAATAATGGAGGTCTGTGGCGCCCGAGGCAGAAAGGTCCATAAAAGTCCACAAAAAACGTTCCAATATTCCTCCATACTGCTCGTCCAATGTATTCCAAGTGTCCTGAGTGGGTAGCATCCAGAATTTACTCGAAACAAAGTCATTTAGAATGTTTTTAGAGCATAAACAGTAGTGTATAGGATTTCCTGAAAGCGCGCACATGCGCGATCACGACGCTACGGAAGCCGGCAGACCAAACCAGCGCATTCAGCTCGGCAAAGAACTCATGCTCTTCCTCAACACTGAAGTCCTCAGACATTTTTCTTTCGTTGTTTCTTTCTTTGCACAGGTAAACAGCACATTTCTTCTTCTATGCTTGCATCATCGGCAGAGCAGACGCTGAATGCGTACTTTCATCTGGTTTGGTCTGCCGGCTTCCGTAGCGTCGTGAACGCGCATGTGCGCGCTTTCAGGAAATCCTATACACTACTGTTTATGCTCTAAAAACATTCTAGTAAATTATGGACGCTACCCACTCAGGACACTTGGAATACATTGGACGAGCAGTATGGAGGAATATTGACAGGTTTTTTGTGGACTTTTATGGACCTTTCTGCCTCGGGCACCATAGACCTCCATTATTTGAATGTCAGCAGACAGCAAGAAGCCTCCCAGATCTCCAGATGCATTTGAGATATCAAAAAAGTACTCCAGAGTGTTGTTCAGCATGGGGGTGAGTAGAAAATGAAGGCTAATCATGTTTTGGGTGTACTATTCCTTTAAGAGGAGAGGAGAACACAGCATGTAAAACAGATGTATCCCATTAAACGGACAATCAGTTTTCCTCAAACATTTGTTTATTTTAGTAATTCCATGCAAAAGGTAAAACAAAATCATATGAGTCTTCTAGACTCTGTTAATATTTGCAGTGTGTTTATTCCTGGTAATTTGGATATAATGTTATATTTGATATAATTTGATGACATTGACTTACAGCGAGCGGGAGAACCTAAAATTTGGTCTCTCTGAAATTGTAAAATTACAGAGAATGTTAAGAAAATGTTGCCATAAAAAAGTCCTGGATCCAGGCCTAGTAATGGAGTCAGTTATAAAATGCGTGGCTTAAACGGTGCACGAATATCCGCCTGTAGAGGATTGTGAAAATAAATTCAAGAGTTTTATGGAGATTCTCTGGGCATGAATTGAAAGGCCGTTTCAGACATCAATTTACCACATTCTGGGTGTTTAGCAACTCCTTCCCTAGATAAATCAGCTGCTCAGCGGTTTGATGTCCTGTTTTCAGATAAAAGTAAATGTAGTGCTTCATTTTCATCCCGTGTGAAGGAGGCAAATAGAGGGAAATAGACCAGCTTTTGGACAAGCTACAGGTGTGTATTACAACCTTGGACTTCTATTACACCCTCAGCAGAGCCACAGACCCATCGTCTGCCTATGCTGCATTGATGAAGCAATGCATGTAAAATCAACCAAGTTGTAAAGTAGTTTTACATTAGTTTATATTTTGGCTTTAAAATATTTTTTGCTGTGTGTAATTATTTGTTCTGAGAAACTAAATTATGGTATTTCATTAGCGGGGGAGCTATGATCATCAAAAAACATACAAATTAACAGTTATAACCTATTACTCTGTGTAATGAGTCTATATCATATACATTCAAACTATTTATAGCCATGTGAGAAAATGTCTAAGAGTCTAAGATAATAAAAGTCAGATTTCTATTGACAAATACTCAGCATTCATCAATCACTAAGTGAGAAAGAGTTGTTAAAAAATGTGATTTTAGAGCAAAAATAAAAATATGAGAGAATAACAGGCAGCTTATGTCAACTAGTAGATAAGCTAAACAGATAACTGGACTCCCCATAAGCCCTGGTTTCATGTTCAAACGATTTAAGGATTTCATGTTTAACCAGTAGGTGGCAGCATTTCTTCAAACTTTCTACAATCACAGGAGCACCAGGACCACTAAAAAGGAAGTTTTTCTATTTAGTAAGACCTTCATGAACAGATAATGTGCTTATACAAAGTAAGGTTTGTAATAATGTAAAAAGTAGAAATTAGACCAACCCTGAATTCCTCCTTAATTCTCTGGGAGAGTCTCTTCTCTTTAACCATGATCATGAAATGAAATTGAGGGTTTTACTGAGAGGTTATGAAGCATAAAGTGCATTAAAACACCTCTGCTTTCCACACACAGACTCACATAGGTTAATGTTGTGTGTAAAGACAATCCTGAAGGGGACCATATATTAAGCAGATTGTGAAGCAGGCAATATGTAAAAAGAAATGAATGTTCTACCTGCTTACATCTACGCTATGCTTTTTCTCCATATGTGGCTAAGCTTTAAAAGGTGAAAATATTAGATACAAGTGAGTAGGTGAGAAGAGGAAGCCTGCTGATAATAAAAAAGCCTATTAATACGCACAGAAAGGGCGGGATTAGTGTGAAACAAAGACATACATGAGGACTTTGAATGCAGGCAGATGTGAAGAGTCCCTAAATGAAAGGGACCCACATTCTTACATTATTATCAAGCTCCCGGAGAGGCTGAAGATGCATCAGGATATCAAGTGTGAAATTAGTTCTGGTAATGCCTGACAGTCGAGTGGAGGCACCTCGGATTTACTTAATTTCAGTTAGACGGCCTGAATGATTCCTTAAAGCATCGATAGCTCTATATAACAGTGACAAAGGGTTCATGATTTGCACACGTTTTTACCGTTATTCTAATCTTGACAATAATGCCACTAAAGGCTTGAAATCTCTAACTTCTGTCTGTGTGTCTGCAGCTGAACTGAAACCAGAGAGAGTTGTCCTGGTCTCCTGAGCTGCCAGCTGCTTCTAATTCTTTTCCAAGCAGCTGGTATTTTCACATGATTTTTTTCTTCCCTTTCTGGAAATCCACTTAAATGTGACTGGGTGAATGTGAGAGTGATGAGGATGACTGGGATACATGGCATGCCTCTGCAGAAAGAGCCTGTCTTTATCCATCTTAGCTTTGGCTACAGATCCTGATGGACTCTGATGGTGATGGCTGCTTTCATCAGAAGCCCAAAAAGGCTCAAGTGTTAAAGGATTTTTTTTCCATTAGGCCCTCAGAGCATTTTATGTTTGATGTAAGAGATTAGTTTTTCCAGACCGCTGTGTTGGTTACAACCGTTTAGCCTCTCGTTTACTCAACTGGCCAGGAAATTAACCTAAATTTGTCTGTAATGATGCCAACGAGCCACACAATGGGGCCAAATGACCCAAACAACTAGAGAGCGAATGACTCTACATCATTTAAACATGTGACTCCTACTATTGAGTCCACAGGGAGCTAATATCACTTTGTTAGATTTCCTGTGCAACTTTATACAAGCAGAAAAGGAAAGAAATTGACTAATATTCCTCATAAAAGGCCCCCTATGACTTGCATGAATAAGTATGTGTGAATCATGTAAATGTAAAAAAATAAAGGTATTTTATTTTATTCTGCATAAAGAATCATTTTGTTAGTTTTTACTTCTAAATATTGTTAAAATAACCTTTTTATTTGACCCTATATGACAAAAACATTGATGAGCAGAATGACACCTCAATAGTAAAGTATCTATAACGCTGCGTTTACAGCAAATGTGTTTTGGGCATCAAAGCATCTGATTTTTATGCAAAGCCCAGGGGGGAATAGCGTCAAGAGGTCCTGCAGCGCGTCCAAGAGGCGGGAGCGGCGTATCCAGGTGTTCTGGCGTCCGGGTGTCACAGTGTCCAAGCATCCGAGCGTTCTGTGCTATGCATCAACCAATTAGAAAAGCTA